TAACAAACTGAAGTATATTGACTGGGGAGGGGCATTTTTCATTTTTCTTAGTCACCTTTCTAGTTTTAGTCTCTAAATTTTAGTTATCATTGCAGTGGGTTTAAATATTATAATTTTAACTAAATATCAAGCACTTTGAAATGTATAGTATAGCAAAAAGACTGTTATTACTTATCAAGTATATTTTTCCTAGTAGTTGAATCCCTGCAGAATGTTACCAGATAGCAGTTACACAGTTTTACAAAGAAAATCTAAGATCAAAAGCTTACAAAAGGGCCGGAGATTTAGCTCAGCAGCATAAGCGCCTGCCTTGCAAGCGCACAGTTGTGAGTCTGATCCCGGTACCAAAAGAAAAAAAAAAACCACACATAATACTTCAGCATGCCAATCATGGTATTATTTTTACCACATTTAAATATCCATCTTAGTATTAAATAGAGTAACACACAGCATATCCATCACATAAGTTTTTAAAAAGCCATTATTTGACTGAAAATAACACGTTGATATGACAATTTCCCTCATGGGGTTTTAGAAGGAACAAGCTCTGCCAAGTTAATAAGTGACCATACATATACTTTTCATTTAATAAACTACTTCCTTAAGCTTTCTTCAATATATGGAAGCTTTCTAGTCCTTTCATTATTTCTCTTATCTCTTTAGCAGTACAAGACTTTCATCATACATAATCCTCTCATACAAAAAGTTTAGCTCTTACATTGATAGCCTTAATATTTTTCCTCTCCTACTTCCCAAGCCCTTGTACAGCAAACATGACTGTAACCTCTTGAATTTTAAAGTATCCCTTTTTTTCCTAAGATAGTAAACTTGACCAACTGCCAAAAAGCCCCTAAGTAACCTTGAATCAGTGCTTTTATTTTAAAACAAAAGGTTCAGAGTAGGTTGTCTCTGTAAATTCAAAACTTTTAAATGTACATGAAATGCTTTATGCACATCAACTCAAACTGGAAACCTAAAGTACAAGTACCAACTTATTAAAATTTGTAATTTAATTTCTCCTGTAAAACTTCCTTAGGCTCATGAGGTCAAGCAAGGGTTGTCCTTGGGACTCCCAAAGCTGGGAGGAGAGCTGGGGCTCTGTCTTGCTTCCTTGCTCGCTTGGAAATGAAAGGACAGTTCCTGTTCTATCCCTTTAATCTTGGCTTGCACAGCTAGGCCTAAGACTCTTGGCCTTGTGTCTGTCTTATAGCTTAGCCATCAAGCCAGCTGGCTTTTCAGGTATTCTGCAGTTTTTCCTCTCTTTTTATTAGTCTATCTGCATCACCCCTTCTGTATATTCTGATGTATTAAAGCTAAACAACTTTTTCATGTCTTTACCCATTATACTGCCAATCACTTTTTTCAGTTACTTTTGTTTTATTAAAGAAAATGATTGAATGATTAAACTACTTTTTTTCAGCTCCCAGCTGAGTCTAGATGACTTTGGACTCCCTTACTTCATTTTACACACACACACATATATGTATATATATTTGTATATTTTCTTTTTCCCAGTTTTAATCCTGGCAAGGGATTTTTGGCCCCTCCTGCTTTGGATCATTACTGTAATTTTGACTCTCTGGGAGTTTTTTTTTTCCTGATAGGCACACACATGGAACCAGGGGATTGTTGGGGCTCACTACAGTCCAAACCAGGAGTCATCCATTCACATTCATACACAGGCACACATAAATTAATGCATTCTGGCCCCCCAGACCCAAGGGTGAAATTTAGCTGGAAAAGAAACTGGAGCTGACTACTCTGAAACTGGAACAGGAACAGATGACAGATGAGACTGTCAAGGAGTGACCAGGTCGTCCTATATCCACAGAGGGAATGGCACTCAAATAGGCTAACAGGCTAACTGGGGTCAGGGGAAACCCAGGACAGGTCTACTTTATCTGTCCCAAATCCTCCAGGGCCAATGAGGTCTCTGCTGTCACAAAGGGGCTCCTCCCCTGGACTGCTGAGGAGACTGAGAAAAGATTCAGAGGGTGCACCTTCTTGTTACAGATTGGGGGGTGGACCCCAGGAGTGTCCAGCACCCACACCAGTGATGTAAGTGGTCAGCAAGGTGTCTTCCAGGCCAACAAAAGAGAAATACCAATATCAAACCAAATGGAATACTCTTTGCAGAAAAACCAGTATCAAACCGAATGGAATACTCTTTGAACCCAGAGGTTAGAAGGCAATTGTTTAGTATGCTAGTGAGATGGTGGGAATCAGTTCCAAATCACCATCTATGAGTCAGCTTAGAGTTCAGTTTAAATACAGTTAGTAGTAGAAAACACAAGGCTGATGGAAGGTTATTACATGAACTAAGTCATATGTTGTCAAGCAAACAGGTTCTATATATATTCCTGGGAATGAGGAGAGAGGGACTGAGCAGAGCAAGTAGACTTAAACATGTCCTTGACTGGGCCAGTCTGTCCCAAACATAAAGTCCTTGAAGCAAGTTGGAAACAATATATATCTTTCTAGGTAAGGAAAAACACAAGCTTGCAACTGGATATAGTCAAGTTGACCTAGTATTACCTGGGAGAAGCAGTTGGGATGCAGACAGTCAAGGCTACGTGAAGTTAGCAGGTTAACCAGCTGACAAGCAGCAGGAACATAGTCGCAGACTATTAATTGATTTTTAATCTTTGCTATAAAATCTGTAAGTTTGCTATTTTATAGCTGTGCCCAAACACTATACCCTCACATAAGAATAAGTAAGCATAAGTGAACAGGGGCAAGGGGCTTTAGCTCAGCAGCACAAGTACCTGCCTGACAAACGCAAGGTCATGAGTTCAAACTCTGGTACACACACACACACACACACACACACACACACAAGAATAAACTGAACAGACACTGTGATACACAACTATAATCCCACCATCCTGGAAGATTGAGGCAGGAGGACTTCAAGTCTGAGCCCAACCTGAATGACACTGTCTCAAAACAATAAATAAAAAAAGGGTGTAGCTCACAGTTCAAAAGCCTTGGGTTTAATCCCCAATACCACTAAAATAAATTGCCTATCTCATGTATCAAAATATAGTAACTAAGATGTTTGCTGTGACTAGTATTTAGTTTCCCAAATAATAGTGAATTGGTTTTAATTGATTCAGATGATTTGACTATAAAATTTCAATGTTTTAACTTAGCACAAATAAACAGGTAAAAATTTAAGTTGCATCTACATCTATCCTGGTTATATGGATCAAGGTAGATAAAAGTAATTCAGTAGACACAATTTTGAAAATGTACAAATTTTTCCACTTATAATTTAATCATTTAAAATAATATTTTCATTTAATGGCAAATCTGCATGAAAGACGGGGCTTCACGTATGCTGCTTCACAGTGTCTTGTACCAGGGTTTTGCCCCTTTTTTGAGCACAAGGAGTTGGAATCAGCATCAGCACATTTGTCTCTCATCTCTCTGAATCAATTTTTCCCAAAGATGGTGGCAAAACTCTTAGAACTTCACAATTATGTTAACTATAACTGAGCCACATTTTATTTTAAATCTTCTAGAGCAATTTTTTTCATAATTTTATTCATTTCAATTATAGTTCTATACAACTTTAGCGGAAAATTCAAAATTTAAAAAATTAATAATATACCCATACCACTGTATCCCAAAACTAAGAAACCTATAGTTAAGTGCTTTGTGAAAGCTATTTATTTTCTAGGCAATTGCTGTCATTTTATATTTCTTTTCCATTTTTTAATTAAACATGTTTCAGTACATACTGTTTACATGTCTTGTGGGGAGTTGGTACAGGTATGTAGCGCATCTTCATTACCTTTTTCATCCTCTTCCCATCTCCTCTCTCCCACTCTCTCCTCTCTTGATCCCCTTCTCATTTGAGAAAGACCTATCTTCCTACATCCTTTTATGTATCTTTTATTTTGCTCTTTATTTACAACTTTGGTTTCTCATATAAGGGAAACTATGTGATGTTTAAGCATGTGTGTGATGTATTTCACTTAATATTATGGCTTCAGCGTGCATCAATTTTCCTACAAATAACTCAATCTTTCTTTACAGTAGAGTAGGACTTCATTGTGTACAGATACATTTTATTTACCCATTCCTCTATTAATGGACATACAGGCAGCTTCCAAGATTTAGTTATGTATTGTACTACCATAAACATGGATATGCATGTATCACTGCAATATGATGTATTTAACTCTTTCAGAGAGATATCTAGAAGAGCAATAGCTGGATTCAACTGAATCTCTAGTTTTAGTTTTTTGAGGGTTTCCATAGTTGTTGTACTACTTTACATTACCATCCAGGACACATAACAGCTCTTTTCTCCTGCACCCTTGCAAGCATTTGCCATTATTTGGTTTGATTATGCTCATTCTTTCTGGAGTAAGATGGAGTCTGTTTATTTGATTTGCACACTGAACATATCTTTATGTATTTATTCGCCATTTGTACTTATACAAAATGTCTGTTAATTTCACTTACCCATTTTTTGACTGGGTCTTTTATTTTGGATGATCTAATTTTTTGAAATTCTTTATATTTTCTAAATATGCCTTCTGTCTGAGGAACAGCTAACAAAGTTTTATTCTATTATGTAAGTTTTCTTTTCCTCCTGTTTGTTATTTCTTTTGCCATGCAAGTTTTTTAATTTGATATGATCCCATTTGTTGATTCTTGGAGCTACTATCTCATATGACCAAGCTTCTGTTCAGAAAATCCTTGCCTATATCTATGACTTCAAGAGCTTTATCTTCCGACAGATTGTTTTAACATTCAGATCTTTAATTCATTTTGATTTTAGTTTAATGCATTATAAGAGATAGAGGTTGGGACTCAATCTTCTACCTGTGGGTAGCCAGTTTTCCCAGCACCATTTATTAAAGATGCTGTCTTTCCCTCAGTGTATTTTTTGGCCCCACTGTCAAAGATCAAATAGCAGAATGTGAATGGGTTGAGAAATATTTGAATTCTAATATGAAGCATTAGGCAAAGAGATTTCACCACATTTATTCTTTAAAAGCAAGTAAAATTAGAAGAAATATTAAAGTTTATACATGATAAAAGGTTGAGAAACAGGGAAATTTTTATTTTGTATCAAATAAATGCTCTAATAATATAGTAAATAAACATAACTTTTAAAAAATTGCTATGTGTCAACCTGGTTGGATTAAGACAATGCCTAGAAAATTAGTAAAGTACTCCTTTTCTGGGTGTGTCCAGAGACTACTGGTATCCGGAACAGTAATTTGAAGGGAGCCTGCTTTGCATGTTGGCATGGTCTGGTATGCTGAGGGCTGTTGGGAGCTTTGAAGCTGGAAATTGATCACACGTGCAGGAGCTGGCCAGCCGGATCTGAGAACAAAGATCAACCAGGACAAGCCGCAGAAAACAGAAACTCTGAGCCCCAAAACACGTGGCCCTTAGGTTGCCATACATGCAGATTACTGGAGTAGAGGATGTCATGTGACATGAAGTTGCTTTATGTACAAATAAATTCCCCTACAGTGATAAGGCAGTTCCTTTCCTTCCCCCCGGAGAAAGAGAACTCCACCTGACACTAGCTTTTGTCTCTTTATTTTCTTATCCTTTTGCTGTCCTCCTTGTAAACCTTAAGGGCCGCACTGGTCATGGCAGGGGCCCACATGGAGCAAAAGCAAAAGCAGCTCACCACACAGGCTCTTCCTCTCTCCCTCTTATCCTGGCTTCTACAAGGGACTTTGCTCCACTCTGCCCACTTCTTCCATGATGCTCTTTGCCTTGGCCCAGGCCCAGCATAATGGAGCCAGCAGTCTATGGACTAAACCTCTGAAAATGGGAGTCAAAATAACTTTCCTCCTTTAAGGTGTTGCTCTCAGGGATTTTGTCAGAGCAACAGAAAGCTAACAAACCATATTTGAAAGTTCCCAATGTGCATAGATTCTCATGTCCTATATGAAGCACTCAAAATAGAATAACAAAATTTTTGTTTTCAACCTACATTTCAACCTGGATAAGCTGTGTGTATGCATTTATATACTGTTAGAAGTTAAACAAATTGATACACAAAAATTTATTTATTTATACTAGCAAAAGGAAATTAAGAAAACAATTTCTTTTAACAAAAGCATCAAAAGGAATAAAATACTGTATTCCATAATTAACCAAAAAAGTACAAAAGTTGTGCACTGGAATCTACAAAGCATGGTTCAAAGAAACTAAGATATAAATAATGGAAAGGCATCCCAAGTGCATGGCTTAGAAGACTTCATGTTGTTACAATGTTGAGAGAACACATTTGCAAATCATATACTTCACACGGTATTAATATCCAGACTATATACACAATTCTTATACTCACCATGTGGGAGACTCTACCCAAAGGAGTGTTTGAAGTGAATGTGGGAAAGGAAGAGACTTTCTGGACAACAGTGCAGGCCTCCTGGCATGCATGGTTGGAGTGTAGAGCAGAAGCTGCAGGGCAACAGTCAGCAGCATTAAAAGCAGTTATTCTCAGATATTTGCTTTGGTCATTGTGTCCCTTCCATAAGACTGCGACAAACCATCCCATTCTTTCCCTGTCCCCTGACCAAAACCTCTAACAAAAACATTCCAAGTGCTTTTACCTCTTGGTTCTCATGTTCTTGAGTTACAATAAATAACTGCAGAAGTCTCAAGTCAGGGCTGTTTCCCTGAGGGTCTCTTAAGCTGAAGAAGCAGCACATAAAAAAAAGAAAAACAAATTGCAGCAGCAGCCCCTCTGGGTTCTTGGTGATTGAACTAAGTCTCTATCTTTTACATCCTCTGCACATCCCCAGTCATACACTGCACAAATAACATAATTCAAAAATGAGTAATTAGAAAAGACTTTTCTCCAAAGAAAATATATAAATTGCCCATAAGCACAAAGCAAAATGCTCAACATATCTAAGCATAGGAAAATGTAAATAAAAACCACAGTGAAGGTCCTACCTTTTAAGGATTCTAAAAGTTGTCAGCAGGTCCTATCAAGTAAAAAAAAACTGAATGACAAATCAGCCTGTGTGCATTTTCTGAATCCACTACAGTGACACTTTAAAATTAAAGATAAGGTATATTTATTTTCATCAAATCTTGTACACATAGAGGTCAAAAAATTTTAGAACACTATATGCCATTAGTTATCATCTATAAAAATATGGAAAATATTGCAATAAATATTTACAGTGCAAATATTTTTTGTTTTCCAGTTTTTATACATTGTTCATGTATTATCAATAGACTGGTATGGGAATAATTCATGAAAAAGTTTGGATTCTGAGATGAAATCATGCTCTGTTGCCCAAGCTGATCTTCAACTCAGGCTCAAGTGTCCTCCAGCCTCAGCCTCCTGAGTCTTGGGATTCCATGCACATGCCATTATGTCTGGCTGAAAATTATCTTAAATTGATAATTTATCCTGTAATGTTAAAGAAACAAATGTTACCCAGGTGTGGCAGAACATGCTCATAAACCCAGTATTCAGAAGGCTGAGAGAGGAGGATAAAGATCTAGGCCACCTGGGCAGCATAGCAAGACTATCAAAATTTGAAAAGAGGGGACGAGTTTAGCTCAGTGGTAGAGCACTTGCATGGCACGCACTAGGGCCTGGGTTCCATCTCCCATAAATAACTAGAAAGGTGCTTGAGCCTTGGGGAAGCCCACTAAGCACTGTGGGACGACTTCCTAGGGAGGAACCCTGTAGACACCTGCAAAATGTGACAGGAATGTCAAGTTACTTCTATCACTCCACTAGACGTGCTGATGAGCCCGCCCTGGAGCAGCTGGGCCCAACCAGCCCCATAGGGGACTAAGACATCCCAGAGCAGAGTGGGCCACCAACCAAGTTAGATTCTTACACCTGTCCACGTTAGGGCACAGGGACCACAGCCAGCACCCAGCCCCAAACAAAACTAAATGTAGTAAGCATATATATGTGCCATCATCTAAAACGCAGCACACAGATCTCAAGTTACCTTTTACCATAATTCACAGGACAAAAAAGAATTTTTTTTCCGAGGCAGGGTCCCGCTACGTAATTCAGGCTGGCCTTGAACTCACTATGGACAGAGACCCTCCAGCGGTCAGCTGTCCATGTGAGCACAGGTGGCAGAAGGGGCTGGCACAGCGGGACAGAGATCTTGCCTTTCTGCTGAGCCAGCTCTGGCCAGGGAGACCAAGTCCCCAACAGGAGCAATCCTGGCTACAATCAGCACCTGGGTGACTGCTATTGCAGTATCACAAGGAGCTGATTGTGCACTGTCCAGCGTGAGACCTCCAAATTATCAGGGGTGATATTTGTCCTTTGTTTCTTCCTTCATTGGGGCCAGCGACCACCGAACTGCACTGCTAGGCCCCAAGAACATGTGATCTTTTTAAAACCAGTGATCTTTTTAAATCAACAAAGCAAGCTACTTGGAGGTTTGCATAGGCTTTCCCTTGGTAGCCAAGAGGCTAGCTTTCCTGATAATGGTTGAATCCTATCAATACTTATCTTTGTGAGGCGCAGCTCTTGTCTTGTTCCTTTGGTCAAGAGCACCACAGAACCCGCCCCCGAGCGGGAGACACCGTCCCGACCCAGCCCTTCGCGCCCCTCCGCCCTCTTCTCTGGATCGGCCCCTCCTCTGCCCAGCATGGCCACGCCCTTCCCGATCTAGTCACGCCCCACCCCTCAGGCTCCGCCCCCAAGAATCCGGTCCCGAGTCGGCCCCGCCGTCTTCCGCCAGGGGGCGCCCGCGGGGAAGAACGTGCCACGCGACGGCGGCGCAGTATCGACGGCGGAGGGGCTCCGGGCTGTGGTGTCGTCTCGGCCAGGGCCCGGCGGCGCAGGGGCGGGGGTGGCGCGGCGGCCGCGGGAGCCCGAGCACGACCTCCTGCGATGCCGTTAATAGAAACGGCGGCGGCGGGACGCGCAGCAGCTGCGGGAGCTTCGGCACCTGGAGCACTTGTGAGCGCGGGGGCGGGGCCCGGGCCTGCGTGGCTCCGCCCGCATCGTGCGCCGCCTGGCGTCCACATTCAGGCTCCAGCGGGGGCTGCCCGAGGGCGGCTTGAAGGAGTTCTTGGTCGGGGGAGGACGTGCGCTCCTCCCGCGTGGCTGGCACTCTTGCCTTTTGTCCGTGCGTTGCAGTTTCTTGGTTTTTTTGAGTCAGTTGTCAGCGTAGCCCAGGCTGGCCTTGAGCTCTCCGGGAGTCCCTGCCTCAGCCTCCTAAGCGCCTGCATGCTTCCCATGTTTTGTTTCTGTCTCCTGTTTGGGTGTCCTGAGTCTCCCCTGCCCCCTAGCTGGCCGGGGTCTGCCCGACTCTGCAAGCTGCTCCGTGCCCACTCAGCTCTACTAAGGGTGGCAGGCGGAAGGGGCACACACCCTGCAGTCCACCTTTGTGTAATTGCCTTTCTGCCTCATTTACCCCAGCAGTCCTCGCCCTCGCTAGTCCTTTTACCGTCAGACTCTGACCTGCAGCCCTCATGTGGAAAGGGGATGCTGACACGGAGGACTTCTCAAATCCCGCTCATCGCGCCACAGAAAAATGGTTTTCCCCACTTTGGCACCCGGGATTAAATCCAGGGCCTCCAACTGACCATCTCTTCTATAATTTTTTTTTATTTTAAAATAAGATGTTACAAAGTTGCTGAGGTTCGGTTTGAATTTAGCACCCTTCTACCTCAGCCTCGCCTAGTGCTGGGATTACAGGTGTGTGCCATCACACTTGGCACAAAGAATGATTTAAAATAACTTTAGTAATGATTTCCCACGCCCATATCCACTTGAGATGTGCCTCCCTCCTTACATAAATTAATATTTTACTGCTCACAGTAGCTTGTAGAACAGCTTCACATGGTACCAAAAAAAAAGTGCAAACTTTTTGTTTTAATCTTTAAGAATTAAATGCAGGGTGATACACACCTGTAATTCCAGCACCTGGTAGGCTGAGGCAGGAGGATTGGAAGTTAAGGCCCAGCCTGAGCAATTTAGCAAGATCCCCATCTCCAAATTAAAAAAAAAAAAAAAAAAAAAAAAAAAAACTTTAAAAAGTTCACCCAGGGAGAGAACATTGATTTCAATCTCCAGAACCACCAAAGAGAAAATCAGAAGGAAACACTGAATATTTTCGTCCCTGTGACCCATTTGGAAGTATTGAACTGAGCAAGTGCTTCCTTGGTATTTAGAAAGTAAGGCTCAGAGCTGAGCTGACAGTGCCTGGGCAGCCATCCCTGGAGTTGGAATGTGTTGGGCGCAGGCGCTCAACATACCATACCCCACCCGGGACTAAGGACCACGCCAGCTTCCGCAATGCGCTACGTCCCTCTTTAAATTAGCCAACCCGTGTGCACTTCGTGCTCACTCCATACTCTGTGGCAACTCCTGATTGGCCACAGCTGGATATGGTAGCCGGAGCCTACATCCCATTCCCGCCCTGCTTCCTTGTGGCAGCCTGTGATTGGTCACGGCCGAATATATAAACCAGAGCCCGCCTAAATAAACTAGCAGTTAACTGTCGTCCACAAAAGCGTCTCCTGTCTCCTGTTCATTGGAGCTGCGCCGGTCAGGAATGGATGCTCCGAGAGCCTGGGGTTGCTCTCTTAATACAAGTATGGACCTGTACAGCACACTTCTGGTCACCATTTGCCCTAGGTGTGTACCCGCCTCCCTTGCAGCACAGCCCTGTAAGGCAGGAGAAGGCCCTGTGTCCAGTGTGGGCCAGGGAACTGAAGCATTCTGCTATCTGCTGTCATCTTTAGGCCTCAGATCAGACAGTGGTAGCTTTGCTTTGCTAAAATGTCAGATTAGAAGCCTTACAAGCCAAGCATGGTGGTGCAAGACTGTCTCAAAAAGTGAAAAAAAGTTGGGGATGTAACTTACTGCAAAGGCCCTGGGTCCATCCTGGTACTGCTTTTAAAAAGCTGTACAGCACTGCTTTGCATTAGCTTGGTGTGCTGTGTTCCTGCTAATGGGTTTGGATTTGTGTTTATTTTACAGTTACAAGAAGCCTCCTCCTGGGCTTATCAAGGTCATTGTTGACACCTAGACTCAGCTTTCCCCAGTTGCTTCGCTGAGAAATAGGTTCATGAATTTGAACTTGCTGTTATGAACCCCTGCTTCTGTCCTGCAGTCCCCGATGGGTGGTGCTGAGTGCTGTCATGTTGGGGCCTCAGCGCCCACTGGGTCAGCAGCCCTGAGCTCTCAGCAGATCCAGCATCTCCCTGCACCATGTCTTCTGCAGGCTCTGCACCTGCTTTCTTGGGCACCTACCTAGAAACTCGGCCTAAGATGCTGGGGTCTTGAAGGTCCTCAGCTCAAAAGCTACCTATGGACAGAGACCCCTGCCTGTGCCTTTTGTGTGGGGTGGGGAGGGGGTGCTGCTACATGGAAAGGTGCTGAGTGCAGGTAAAAGCTGAAAAGCCTGTCTTGTCTGGAACCTATCAATTAGAAAAAAAAAAAAAAGACTTATCTCCTAGGGCTGGGCATGGTACTGCATGTCCAATTCCAGACTATGAGTCTGAGTCAAGAAGATTGCGAATTTGAGCTCAGCCTGAGCAGTTTATTTATTTTTGTCTTTGTGAGACAGTTTTGCTGTGCAGTCCAGGCCGGCCTTGCAATCACTTGTAGTCTAGGCTGGGCTTGAACTCACAGCAGTCCTCCTTGTCTCAGCCTCCCGACTGCTGGAATTATAGGTATGCACTTCCATGCCTGGCTACCTGGTCAGTTTAATAACTTAGCAAGGTCCTGTCTCAAAACCTAAAAAAAAATTTTTTTAATTTTAAAGTCTTGGTGTTTATCTCAGTGCAAAGGCTCTGAGTTCAAATCCCAGTACCACCGACAAATCATTCCTCTACTATAAATTGAATATCTAAGAACTTGGGGGGTACAGGGGGTCAAACTCACAACATCAGTCTTGCCAAACATGCTCCTGTGCCACTCAGCTAAATCTCCAGCCCAGAAAAAATTTTTTTAAGTTGTAAAAAACAAAATCAAAGGGCCTTGATTGCAGAGAGAGCACATGATGTGACTGTGGCCATGACCTCAGGGGCAGCAGGCAAGGCAGTAAGCTGTTTTAACCGGACATGTGACCTCCATGCCACAGAGGTGGGCTGTTCTGATGCCTCATCTGTCCCACAGCTTGAAAGTTGCGAACCCTTTTCTGATCTTAGAGCCCTATGGCCAGGAGGATGTGGTACTCCAGGCCTTTTCTATCTGGAGGACAAACACTTGCTTCCCCAGTGACCCCACCACCCTACCATGCTGATTTCTCATTTCTCCTGTCAGGTATGATTTGACCTTTCATTGTTGTTTTATTCCTCACCCCAGTACTGGGATTTGAACGCAGGGCCTTTATACTGAGCTACAAGCTCAGTTCCTTTTTTGAGAATTTTGAAACTGTCTCACGGATCCGCCCAGGCTGAGATCAAACTTTCTCATGCCACAGATTACCAGAGTGCTGGGACCACACTCTTCTCTTTGGACGAGCCCAGGAGCAGGCCGGGTTCCCAGGAGGAAGAAGCCAGTGAGCTTCCACTTTAGCCCAGGTTTCTGACTGCTCTTTCCCCGCTCAGGAAGATGAGAGCAAGCCTGAAGACTGCATCCCCGATGTGCTGGGCAAGGAGCAAGCCCGGGAGTTCCTGGCACACGCGCTCACAAAAGGACTCTGGATGCCGCTGGGGAAGGAGGTCAAAGTGATGCAGTGTGAGTGTGGTGGGACTGGAGCTCCCGCCTCATTGGTCTGTTTGTGTGGGGATAGTAAGACTGTAAGATTTAAGGGTGGGGAACCAGTGAGGGTGCTGGGAGCCATGGTTCTGACACTGTGGGGCAGCATCTGGACCAGGTCTCACATAACAGATGCATGACGAGGGCACTGTTAAGCTCGAGAAGGGCAGGAAAGGGGCTAGGACAGGCGCAGAAGGCAAGCCCAGGAGACGGAGGCTGAGGGCTGTGGGTGGGGCCTGCCTCGGGTAACCAGGGGACCTGCTTTCCTGTCACTGGGGTGCCACTGCCAGCTGATTACCCATATGCACCTTGGTTTGGCTGTGGCACCTTCCAAGGGTCGCCGCCTCTGAACTGCAGTGGAGTGTGTATGGGAGCCAGTACTGGGAAGACAGCATCTCTGGGTGTCCCGGTGGCAGCCTGTGCTGGGCTCATACCCCAACAGATGAGTGGGGTATGGGCGTCTGCCCCAAAGCTGAGGGGAGTAGGAAAAGGACAGGGAGAAGCAACAAGGAGTCCTGGCCATCACTTTTTCCTCCATCCAGTCCTCCGACAAAAGCACACAAGGCAAACCCTCACTGCCTCTCCTGTGTTTTCTGCAGTTGGCAGCACAGACCAACGTGACCGATCTTGCGCCTGACTGCTTCCCTGGCCTCCTGTCCATTCCCCACATGCAGGCTCACTTTGCTCACCATTCCCATGCAGCTGCATGGTTTCCCCAAAGCCCAGTGTGTCTAAGAGCCTAAAAGCAGATGAGGGAACAGCAGGATCGCATCCTTCCTGCTTTGCACACCACTTTCTTTTCCATACTGCAACACCTAAGCTCAGATCCGTCATTGTTATAGTTCTGGGAAGATCTGTGTGTCCCCTTGTTGCCCTGATGCTTGTATGCCTTGTGCAGGGCCTTCTCCTAGTGAACCTGTTTAAACAGGACAGTTTCCTTTCTGCAGGGCACGCTATGCTGAAGTTCTACCAGCATTCACATTGGAAGAGAATTTGTGATTTTGTTTACTTAAATTTGAGAGATGTAAGGCCAGGCACAGTGATGCACACCTGTTGTCCCAGTACTTAGGAAACTAAGGCAGGTGTGTTACTTTAGTACAAGAGTTTGATTCAGATAAACCTGGAGAACATAGCAAGACTCCATCTCAAAAACAAACAAACAAAAACAAGGCATTTGTATGATGATTTTCACAAATTGAGACACACTTTCTTGTAGTAGTGCCTTTATTATTTTTTGATGTTCAATTTATTTTTATGAGACATGGTCTCACTGTATCCCAGGCTGGTCGTGAAATCACGATTCTTCTGCCTCACCAGCCAAAGTGCTAGGATTACAGGCATGTACCACCATTGGTCCTGTTCATTTCTTTTTGATATTAGAGATTTTACTCTGGGCCTTGAACTTGCTAGTCATGTGCTCTGCACCCCTTTACCCCTGAGAATCACATTCTGTTCATGAATCAGAAGTGTTCTTAAACTTGATGAACAGAAAATATGTATGCTAAAAAAATACAGCCAAACACGGTAGCACATGCTTTTGATCCAGCACTCTGGGAGGCTGAGGCAGGAGGATCACAAGTGTGAGCACAGCCTAAGGAACTTACATTATCTCCAAATACAAAAGTGAAAAAGGGCATGAGCTATAGCTCAGTGGAAAGACCCTGGTTCACTCTCCACAAATAACTTGTCATGCATACAGGGAGAGACTAAAAGTAAATTCCCCTCTTGCCATTCTTGGCACCAGATGGTTTCAGAAATGCTTGACACAAGGTTTATTGCCGCAGCTGTATGATTGAGGGATGCTGTGGGATGCAACCACATTACCTGTTTTGGGGTCTTACTGTTGTGTTTCATCCACTCATCACATTTACTTTTAGAACGGGGGTCTAATGAAGGAAAACTAATACCAAAACATTATCTTGGTAAGGTAAAGCTGTCATCTTACAGAAAATGCCCCTCTTTCTTTTTTAGGTTGCCGCTGCAAATGGTATGGCCCCCGGACAGGTGACAAAGAATGCCCTTTCTTTATCAAAGAGAACCAAAAGTTAAAACAGTTCAGAGTGGTGAGTGAACCGGGTGTGAGTTTGCAGTCCTCAGAGGTGGTGAGAGGTGTGAGCCAGCAGGCACCACGCAAGCGCACTCCCTTCTCCCCGCTCCCTGAGATTCGGACACAGTCTGTGATGTCAGCTGCACTTCTGTGAAATAGTATTTGTGTGAGCATTAGCATATGCCTGTGCGTCTGTGGCTGCATCTGTGTGTACATGAGAATTGGGATTGAACCAGGGCCCAGGCTGGACTCGAACTTGCAGTCCTCCTGCCTCAGCCTCCCAGACTACTGACTCTCCTATTTTAAGCTCGAAGTGTATTTCCTCTTTAGATGACAGTAAAACCCATTGGTCCTTTCCTCACTTTATCTTTTCAAAGCCCCCTTCTGCAGACCATCCTGCACTGTGCAGTTACTGGTTGTTCCAAGTGAGGTCACTGCTGAGTACACCAGGAAAACTACCAGTGCCTAGCAGCAGCTGCCTTGGTGATAAGAGAACAGCTTTTTAAATGCATTTTTATATTTATTTCCTGGTGCTTGGGAGCCAACCTGGGGCCTCATGCATGCCAGCCCAGTGCTATACAACCGAGCTACGCCCCCAGTCCTCCATACTTTTTTTTTTTATCGGTACCAGGGATCGAACTCACGACCACCTGCTTGCAAAGCAGGTGCTTATGCCGCTGAGCTAAATCCCCAGTCCCTCCAGTAAGCTTGTACCCCTTTTGTAATCAAGGTAATTTACACATTTCACATATCCCTCATGCACGTGTTCTAATATTTAAGCATTTGAAGCCACTTGAAGTGACTAGCTCAGCACAGTGACATACACCTGTACTGTCCGCTGTCCCAGCTGGTCTGGGAGCCAAAGCAAGAGGATTGGAAGTTCCAGCCTAGGCAGCTTGGCCAGACCCCATTCCAAATAAAATTTGGTTTAAAAAAGACTAAAAATATAGCTTCCCATACGGGGTGTGAGGAGGAAATAATAGAGTACACTGGTGTTATTAAACCAAGCAGACCCTCCTAGGACGGCTGTTGCCACCAGGTCCAGCCTCTAACTCACCAGGGAACTTGGAGGAGCAGTTGGGTGCACCCGTGGCTGGGGCTTATGGGGTAAACAGTTGCTCTCACAGTCATTGTTTCCACCCTCGGTCATCTATCCACGTAGACCAAAGAGAATTACTCCAGTATTTCTCAGCTTGAGAATTCTTTTAAATGAGAAGCAAGTGCACTGCTCTCTATGCAGTTATTTGGAGGTCTTCTCTTTGGAGGTGCTGACGGTGGTGTTTTGAAACAGGGTCTCATTATGTGGCCCAGTCTAGCATTGAATTTGTGATCTTTCTTCCTCAGCCTTCTAAGTGAAGGGTTTTAAGTGTGTATGACCTCTCCCAGCTCAGTTATTTCCTCATAAAGCATATTTAATTATTTTCTGTGTTTTCTAATTAGAGAATTATTTTTGTAGGTTAACGAGTTTATATTAACATCCTTCAACAAAAATAAATCCAGACATGGTGGCTCATGCCTGTAATCCCAGCACTCGAGAGGCTGAGGCAGGAGGATCCTTGTGAGTTTAACACCAGCCTGGACTACAAAGTGAGTTCAAGCTCAGCTTGAACTGCATAGTGAGACCCTGTCTCAAAAAGACGAAAAAAAAAAAAAAGGGCAAAAATAGATTGAACATAAAGCAACATCAAACACTGGATTAGCCTGGTGTAGTGGTGCATGCCTATAATTCACACTCAGGAGGCGGAGACAGGAGCATTGTATTTGAGGCTGGCCTTTACTACACGGCAACTTCCAGGTCAGCCTGGATAGCATAGTGTCAAAAACAAGATCAATAACAACAAAAATACTAGTTTCAAAAAAAAAAAAAAGAAATACTAGTTTCAGTTACATATATAGATTTATTTCCTACTTGACTAACAGTCTATAAAGCCTAACCATACCCTTCTCTGACCCTTACAGCACATGAAGATCCCATGTACGACATCATTCGGGAGAATAAAAGACATGAGAAGGACGTGAGGTGAGGTTATCCACTTACATCTTAACTGCATAGTCAGGAGCAAATATTCACATAGAGGGATTGATTCCAGCCCTGCAGACTCCAGCTGTGGGGACAGGAAGATTGAGCCCATTGCTAGGGGCTGCATGAGGGCCGGCAGGCAGCGGTCAGGACAAGCAGGCCAGCATGGGACAGATAGCCAGTGCCCTCTCGCCAGGTCGAGCAGAGGGCACACTTCTGCTGGACCCCACACTGAAGTTGGCTTCCTCATGTGACTTAGTTTTGTTTTGTTTCGTTTCATTCTGTCTTTTTGAGATAGGGTCTCACTATATAGTTCAGGCTGACCTTGAGCTCACTTTGTAGCCCAAAGTAAATGCGAGCAGAGCCTCCTGCCTCAGCCTCCTGAGTCCTGGGATTACAGGAATATGCCACCAAACCTGGCTGTGATTTAGTTTAACTTCCACACTCTATAGCATCTTGAGTTTTTATAAAGCTTAGACATGATTAAAAAGACGATGAAGGAAAGTTTTGTTGCTCAGATCAGTTGTATGGAGTTGCTGCTCTTGAGGGAGGGGACTTTGAGTGTCAGTGTGGAGAAGCTTCAGTAAGTGCATCTGTTAGAAGTCACTGTTGCAAGCCAGGTGTGGTGGAGCATGCATCTAATTACAGTCTTCCAGGAGGCTGAGGCAGGAAAATAAAAAGTTCCAGCCAACTAGAACTGGGCAACTTAGACCGAGTCAAAAATTTAAAATTAAAGAAGGGGTGGGGATATAGCCCAGCGCAAAGGACCTGAGTTCAATCCCCAACACAACAAAAAAAGAAAAAAAGTCACAGTTGCAAGGGTTGTAGGAAATATTAGGACAGTCAGAAGTGAGTGTGGCCAGGAGAGTTGATACACGTCAGTAATCTCCGCACTTGGGAGGCCTTAGCAACAGGATTGCTGGGAGTTCAAGCCCAGGCTCTGAACTACATAGCAAAACCCTGTGTCAAAACTACCAAAAAAAAAAAAAAAGTAAGTATTAAGATTAGTAAGGTCGTTATACACAACTACCCCCCCCAGCACTTACTGTAAGTCATTTACTTATTTGAGGAGACTGGCGTGGAAACTCAGAGTCCTTTGCCCGATCTTGCACACCTAGGATCCAGCAGCTGAAACAGCTCCTGGCAGACTCCACCTCAGAGGAGGACGGGAGCAGCTCTGAGTCCTCGGAGGGTAGAGAGAAACACAAGAAGAAGAAGAAGCACAAGAAAAGAAAGAAGGAAAAGAAGAAAAAGAAGTGGAAGCAGAAGTCTTCCAAGCCAAGTGAAAGTTCAGACTCGGAGTGAAGGGGACGCCTGGCCGAGCACCTCAGCCCCAGCACTGCGGCAGATCCAGTGGCCGGGAGGGGACATCGGGTCTGTAGGGACGCTTACCACGAACTGAAGGACGCTCTGCTGTTCTCCAGCGCCAGGCCTCCGCTATGTCGCGCAGGAGAGCTCCTCATGTTCAGTGCCTGAGACCCCTTTGCAGCCTCCATAGGCAGCAACTGGACCAGGGCCCACCGTGGCCTTGTGAGCCCAGAGTGCGCCCCCTAGTGGAGAGGCTCGGTCCCACGGCTTCAGATCTGGCTGTCTTATGTTAGGGACAATAAAAGCTTGTGATTTATTTTTCAAACGTAGTCATTTATGAAGAATCCAGGCACACGGTCCAGATGTAAAAGCTAAGGACACTTTGGTCATGAGCACTCACTCTCCTTCCCCAGGGATTACCAGTGTCAACAGTGTGCAGTGACATCTTTCACGCTGTCGTCTCAGGGACACGCGTTCACACAGCTGCTGCCCCGTCTAAGACTCAGTGGTGTGAACTGCTATCCTCGTATCTCAAACATGGCATGCTGCTGTGTGACACCTGACAGCAGTCACTGATCTGGGGACAGAGGTGATTGGTGGCAGTGAAGCCTCCTGTGCCTGTACTGTATTCAGCTTGCCTGGACCTCACTGCTGGAGCCCTGGGATTCTTAGTCACTGACTCAGGTGGTCCAAGGACACAGGACATCCACTGGCTGCTACCCCTCCTGCTGGCTGAGCATAGCCCATCGGGGCAGCTATAACTGACCTGGGCAGAGGCAGAGTCAAGGCAGCCCAGGAAGCAAGGGTGGAGGGGATCTGTCCTTCCTGAGCCACAGCGTGGCTGACCTTACTTAGCAGAGTGCAGTGTCGGCCACAGCCTGCTGTCAGTGCTCAGGCATTACCTTTCTGATCCTTATCTTTAGAGCAGCAATGCATGCGCATGGCTGACCTTCCCAGTTCTGGTGTGGCCCAGGTATGGCCTTAGGACAGTAGGGACCTAGAGAACACAGGTTACCAACTAAAGTGATTTTTGTGGCCTTGTTAGTGCCTTTGCCACTGTGTCACACCTCCCAGACCCTGGGCTTCAACCATACCTTCCACTATGTCCTTGAGATCCCATACTGATATTACAAAGGAGAAGTCATGCAGGACACCCCTGCGAGGTAACACGTGCCTATATTCCCAGTGCTTGGAAGGATAAGGAAGGAGGATCATAAGTTTGAGGGTACCCTGAACTACATAATGATCAGGATACCACTTCAGGAGTAATTAAGAGGAGCAACCAAAAAAAGGAATTTTTATACTTTTGGTGAATTTTTAAAAATTTTTTTGAGTTTAGTAACAGGATTTTTTTTAAAACCAGAGATTGAACCCAGAGTCTTTGCGCTGAGCTATATCTCAGCCCTTTTTTCTTTTTTGAGATCGTTTCAGTCACTAAATGTCTCATACTAGGCTAATACTCGCGATCGTCCCGCGTCGGCTCCCGGAGTGCTGGGATTGGGACACCACACCAGGGACAGCCAGTTCTTGAGTCTATTTTCGTGGAACTTCCATGGACGAGTAGATAAACTGTAGTTTCTTTTGTTAATCTGTTTTATGTCAATCATTTCTTGGACAAGCTGAGACCCGCCCGCCCGAGGGTGGACGGAAATAATCCCCGCCTCCTCTCCCTCTTCAAACCTGGTCGCCCCGCCCCGCAGGAGACACCCAGCAAATCCCGCCACTCACAAGGAGGACGCGATGGAGGAGGCGGGCGCACCAAGCGCAGGGCCGTGGGAAAGACATCTCTTTACGTCTACGTAGGAGTTGTCTTCGCCCGCTGGTCCCGACAAGCCACCGCGGACGCCACTGCACGGCTCAGATGCGGTGCCGCGGGGCAGCCTGGGGACTGTAGGTCAAAGCAACAGAGGGCCTGCGCCAAACCTGCTGGGAGTTGCAGTTCAGCGCGGCTGAGGCGCGAAAGGCGAAAACGATTTCGGAGTAGGCCGCGGCTGCAATCAGACTGCTGCTGGACGGGGCTCCTCTGAACCACTGCCTATTGCTTTTAGCAGAGAGAGCTAATCAGAGAAGGAACACTTCCTTCTCCGGTGCTAGCAGCAGTGCCCCAGACCCCGACTGTGCGGAAGTCTCGCTCCGCTCCTGGGCGTCGGCGCTAGCCACGATCTCCCGTCCCCCGGCGATCCTGCGGGGGTTTCTCTGCGGAAAACCCGCACTAACCAGGCTTGGGGGCGGAGCTTTTTGGGGGCGGGGCCTCGCGGAGCAGCGTTGTAGCGGGGTTTTCTGGGGCAGCCCCGACGTAAGCCGCGGTCGGGGGCGGGGCTCTTCGGGGGCGGAGCCTGCGTGTGCAGCGGGTGGAGCGAGGCCTGCACAAAGCGGAGGCGCGGGTGGGCGGGGCTTCCTGGGCGGGCCGCCTTGGGGCCGCGGCTCCCGCGCTCTGGAGGCGAGCTGCAGCGGCGGGCTGCTCGGTTTCCGGCCGCGGGCGCACGAGGCCGCCCATGGACCGCGCGGCGGCGGTGAGGGTAGGCGCGGCGGCGAGCGCCGGCGTGTGCGCCCTGCTGGCGGGGGCGGTGCTGGTGCAGTACCTCTTCAGCCTGCGCCGGAGGACGAGCCGCAAGACCAAGATCATCGAGATGGTGAGCCGGGCGATGGGGGGCCGGGGCCCGGGCGCGGGTCCTCCCACTGGGGCCGGCGGCACAAGGGGCCTGGGCCGCTGTCCGCCGTAGACTTGTGGGCTCGGTGCTGGAGTCTTACTCTGCTGTCACAGACTTACCAGAAGTCCCCTTCTGTGTTCTCCGAGCTCCTGCACGGATGTTGAAATAATCTCCTTAGCCAGGTGTGGTGGCACCTGCATGTCATCACAGCGCCCAGGAGGCTGAGGCAGGAGGATCGCCGCAAGTTCGGGGCCATAGTGAGTGCAAGGGCTACATAGTGAGTGCAAGGCCAGCCTGAACTACGAGGCCTTGCCTCAAAAAGCCAAAAAACAAAACCAAACAAAAAAACCCTCAAAAATCCACTAGAGGTACATAGTAAATGCATTTTGAAGTTGGGTTTGTTTAGTTTTGTATTTAACTAGATCTGACGTAGGCAAGACCAGTCCACTTTCTTTTCTGGAGCACACAGTCCTGGGTCTCTCTAGACTGAGCACTGTGCGTGTGAACATCTGAGTGAACATCTGGGTGCATGTGCCATCCAGATAACGCCATCTGCAGTAGGTTGTGGGGCTGTGCTCATCCTGATAGAGATGCCCCACGGGTGGAGGCCCATGGCACGAGGGCGAATATGGGAACAGCTTTGCTTTATTTTAAAAGTAAATTTTAAAAGCCAGCTCTCACAAGTCTCATTCCAGTAAGATTCCTAGTTTTTGAGCTAATGTGCTCTTGGATTATGTAACATTTTCTCTGCCTCTTGTCTTCTTAGCAAATGTTTGTGTCTCCAAAGTTTCCTTTTATTCGTGGTGCTGGCTTGCTTAACACACGATTTTCTTTTGCCCCACGCTCAAAATTTATAATATAGGTGTGAATATGTTTTATATATTAACGTATTTATAATGCATTTATAGTATATATATGAATTGTCCTATCGTCCGGTGTGTACTTGAGTTGTGAATTGGTCTTTCAAAATCCTAAGAAACAGTTTGCCCTCTCTGAAAGATAATGAAGGACCATCAAGAATGCGAACTTTACTTACCGTACTGAAGACACCAGTCACACCTACATGTAGACAGAGTACAGTATTTTAATGGATGTAGCCTGCAAGTGGCTTTACAGTGAAAATTATGGTTTTAACGCTTGTTGCTAGGCAACCTAAGTTACTTCTTCAGTTGAAAAAAATATTTATTTGTCTATGAGACCCAAAATATGGGTTCCTGCTCTGGTTCTTTTTCTTTAGAACACTCACCACCCATTGCTACCTTCATCTGAGATGGGTTCGTGAGCAATACAGGAATCCAAGCAACTAAATTGATAAATTGGAATTCAATTAACTGAGCTCAGGACCACACATATACAGACCCCCCTGGTTCAGGAGCCAAACAAATGGCCTAGAACTGGAAAGTTACAGAGTTTTTAAAAGAGAATCACAAAAGACATCCTGTTGGAGATAATTTAGCTCAAATCTTGCTTTCATTTTCAGTTGACACCAGTATCCTGCTTCTTTTGTTGAGCAGGTTAATTTTTCTCTTGTAGATACAATTCATTCTGCTTTTCTCAAAGGACTTGTATCCTGAGTAGTTTTCCATTTACTGAGTCAAATACAGGCCACTAGTTAAATGCAAGGCTCAATATAGCATCAGTTATGCCAAGCCACAACACATCCTTTAGAGCTTCTGCACCCTCAAATGAGGCATGTCTTTCTGAAATTTTCCCGAGAGAGTCTGGAGGAGTGGCTGGGAGGTTGTGCCTGCCCAGCAGAAATGTCCCACAGGGCAGAGACCTAAACACAGGTAGCAGAGTGGAGACCGGGAGAGGTTAATGAAGGTGGCTGCTGCTTTCCTCCAAGGTACCGTACGCCTCATTTGGTGTCTCCTTGGAAGCAGCAAAACAACCTGCCCCTGCCTACTAGCAGTGGAGCTGCAGCTGGGTAAATTTCTCTTTCTGGCACCCAAAATCTCCTTAAATTGCTCACTAATCTGGCATAGTCAAGTGTTTATTTTACATTAATTTTTTGTAGTACTAGAAATTGAACCCAGAGCCTAGTGCATGCTACACAAGAAAAGGCACTAGGTTATGCCCCCAGCTTTTTTGTTTTTAGATGGGGGAGGCAGCTCTTACTAAGCTGCCCACACTGGCCTTGAACTTTTGTCCCTCTTGCCTCAGCCTCCCAAGTCACTGGGATTTCTGGCTTGTGCCACCATGCACAGACATTTTTACTTTTAAGTAAACTTTATTTTAGAACAATTCAGATTTAGAGAAATACAAAGTAGGTAAGTACAGAGTTTTCGTGAGTCCCCTATGCAGTTGCCTTCATTGTTGACATCTTACATTACTTTGGTTCATTTGTTACAGTTGAACAAATACTGATACTTTCGTAAATGTCCATGTTTTATTCAGATCTCCAGTGTTTTTATGTAATGTCTCCTCCAGGAACTGCCCCTCTTCACATGTGCTCTGCCCCTGAGATACGCTGCCTTCTTCCACCTCTGGCTGTGCCAGTTTCTCTGACTGTACTTATATTCCTCACCGTTTCGAGTAGTTATGGTTGGGTATTAAATAGAATATCCCTCAGTGGGGTTTTCTTTCAGTTTGCAGACTTTGCAGTTTTTGTAAAGTTGAAGTTACTTCCCCTCCCTCCTTCCACCCTGTGTTCTTTGGAAGGAAGTCACCATGAGATGTGTCCATAGTGACACGCTTGGTTGCAACCAAGAATGGATCCTTTCTGTTCTTCTTGGCACATTATAAATCCCAGCGACTTCCTGTAACTTGACAGCATTTCAAGTATCACCACTGTCACTTATCTGTCCCACGTTCAGAGATGAGATATGTAAGACTCTCACTACAGATTAGCATTAAAAATGAACATTTACAGTCTTTTTTGATGATAGTAAATGGTCACTTTGAAGTCAAGCAAAACGTTATTTATAAAAATTGAGTTATGTATGTGTGGTCCTTTGTCCGTTTACCACCACCACCATCACCCCCACACACTGGGGATCAGACCCAGGGATTCGTGCTTATGAAACAAGTGTTCTACCACTGTACTCTATCCTTAGCCTTTTTAAAAAATCTTCTTTTGACCGCAGTTCCACAAGCTGTCCCACTTTAGCTTCTGGGGTGAATGAGGCATGTTCCAGCACACCCAGCTTGTGGTTTTGTTTTATTTTGTGTTTTGAGGAAGGATCTCTGTTGCCCAGACAGGTATTGAGCTCTTGGGCCCTGTAATACCTCCCACAGCTCCCAAGGCAGCCGGACAAATGTGGCACTGTCACACCCAATTAGTTAGACTGGGATTTCCTCAGTAAAGTTGCTCAAATTCGTTTTGTGTGTGTGTGTTTTTCTTTTTTTTTTTATCAGTACCAGGAATCGAACTCATGACCGCCTGCTTGCAAGGCTTATGCCGCTGAGCTAAATCCCCAGTCCCAAATTCGTTTTTCTTTTGTTAAATAAATATCTCTTTATTCTCAGGTGTTTCTCTTGGGTCATAAAAGTTAGAATATTCACTAACTGACCATTTATGGAGTTCCCTGATCCCTGTCGGAGTGAATAAATTCCTGCCAAAACTTTATGATCTGTTTGGAGAAAGCAGAGCATATAGAAAAGCAAACACTTTGTATGCGTAAGCATAGTATGTGAAATGGAGTGGGATGACTTCTGTTTTAACAGGGTCTTGTTATTCATGACTAGGGATGGAGCTCAATGGTAGAGTGTTTGCCTTTCGTGCACCAAAGTCCTCAGTTCAATCCCCAGTACGACCACCTCCAAAAAAAGAAACTATCAACACGTTAGTTTGTCCTGATTGTAGGGCTTGGTTCTCTGCTTTAAAGATGTAAAAAATTCAGTCACCGTTATCTGAGGTAAAAGATTCATATTATGGGCCTAAGACTAATTTTGTCATCAGGGTGCATAAACATGGATCTGTCAGATCCACATTTATTCTTTAGAATATTGCTACTGGTGAAGTACTAATTTTAATGTATGTAATATTATTATATTAAACAGTGAGTACATCACAGAAAAAAGTCACCAAAATTAACTATTCAGTTTTTATTATTGAGTACTTATAAAAAGCATCAAAATTTTCCACATCAACAAGTTTTCAGTGTACTAAGTCCAAAAACAAGCAACACAAATTCTTTTGAAATACAATGAAAATGCTAATACTACTAAAAAAAATCTAATTTACTTCAGTTATCACACCTTACGGCAGTCTGCACACGTGACACATTCTGTACAGTCTTGAACTTTGATTCTCCTGCCTCAGGTGCTAGGATTACAGGTGTGCACCACTGTAGGCAGCTCTCCTGAAGCATTCTTTTAACAGATTATCACGGAGTTCACATGAATAATCTTCCATGTGTATTCAGTTGTGTTGCTAGTGTGATGTGTCTCTGGGCTGGTTTCTGTTACCTTTTTGTAGGGCAGTCTAAGTGCTGCTCTGAATTATCAAGACAAAGCACTCTAACAAGATCAGAGGCGTGGATTACGAAAGTAGCCCAGAGTAAACAACCACATACACAGTTTTCCGTTTCCTGTTTTAGCTTTATAATTCATTTAGTTTGCACTCTAATCCAGGATTACAGGACTACGTTTCTTTTTATGTGTGTGGTGTCAGGAGTTGAACCTAGTGCATTGCACGTCCTAGACAAGGGTTCTCCCTGTGAGCTACACCCCAGTCCATTTTAATATTTTTAAAAACTAGCAGATATAGTGTCATATACCTGTAATTCCAGCATCCTAGTAGATGAGGTGGGATGATCACCAGGAATTGAGGCCAGCCAGACTACACAATGAAACCCTATCTCAAAAAAAAAAAAAAAAAAAAAAAATTAAACTGTGATTTCCAAAAATTTGGGGTAAGATCAGTTTTTTGTTTTGTTTTGTTTTGTTTTGTTTTGTTGATGCCAGGGATCGAACTCATGACCCCACACTTGCCAGGCAGGCCCTTAAGCCACTGAGCTAAATCTCCAGCCCCCAAGATC